GGCTGTTAAAAGGGTTTTTTAAATGAATTTGTTTTCATGTAAAATATTACCAAGCTTTAGGGTACTCGAGACTTAACCCCTGTTAACATTACTGGAAATGGAGAAAGGTATTGGTTAAAGAACATTTTCTGTACGTTTATTTAATTCGACATATTTTTATATATTCTGTATGTGACCCAAATAGCTTTTCAAAAAGGTTTAGGGCCACATTAATCGAAGTTGTGAAAGCGCAATACTTCGCCTATTTTAAACTAAAAATAAAGGAGCATAAGAATTGGCCACCTAACATAGATTGCGAAAAATACTAATGATTTGTGCAGAGCAAAAAAAATCATACCGATGACTGCTTTTTTTGCCAAGCCAAATTTAACCCAAAAAAAATTACGGATCCGGATGTAAATTCGGCTAGGAAACCAATTCTATATTCTAATAACCTACTCGCCCCAAGAACTTCCTGCTTTTAAAGACATGTGCTAACCCGGATTGAAAATCACGCAAACTCCCAGCCTGTTCACGCAAAAAGCTTTAGATGATCTTAAAAGAGACCATGACCTGTCAGGAGAAAGAGCTTAAGTTTTGGCCTCACGATTAACGTAAAGAAATTTTCCATGTTGCGAAGTTAAGGTTACACGATACCGTACTAGAGAAAAAAAATGCTATCATTTTTGCAACAATATAAGTAGTCTTTTGTAAAGCATGGGGTTATTTAATTACAACGTAGCTTAAAATACGTTTTGCTACATAACGGCAATACATATGGAGCGGTAACCATTGCGCATTCGACAAAACTAAAGGAATTTTACGAAACTATTTCATTAGTTTTGAAAAAAATTAAATACAGTGATCCTGATTGGGTAGTGTGCGTGGTAAACTTTCTTTTCGGACAACAAAGCGGCTACACAAAGTACACTTGCTTTCTTTGCTTATGGGATAGTAGAGATAAAAGTCACCATTAGGAAAATACCATTTGGCCTGCAAGGAAGTCGTTGGTCCTGGGTCAAAAAAAATGTAGTAAAATAAAAAAATGTACCAAGAGACAATTAACCAAAAAAGGGATAACACCTTTATTTGTGGGGTAAACGAAGAATAATCGCATTTGAACCGAAACAACCATATGTAATTGAAGGAATTGTGTTGCACACTTTCAGGCATGTAATATTATTCCCCACAAAAACTTTAAATTAATTGTTGTTTCAACTCTTGAAACAGAGCTTTCTTTTCCCGCCACCGCGCTATCCCATTTGTTTCCATTTATCTATCTGTGGCATTCATCGACATCATCATCAGCCCTCGCCAGCTCTCATGTAGATACTTTGTCTAGCATTTCAATTGGCAAACACACTTGAGCTTTGCGAGCTACACGAGTTTAGAGACGGATGGTAGCAAAAAAGACACCGCACCCGCCGTAAAGCAAACAACAACCCCGATTCGCGTTCAGGTCTACGCCCTGGCAGAACCCGAAAGCCTTTCATCTACTTCAGTGCTCAAGTAGCAACAGCAGCACAGTGCGCAAACAAGGACACAGCCAACAGGGAACCAAAGTGCGATTTTCGAAAATGGCAAAAGTGTGTTTTCCAAATCTGACTTTTCAAGGCCAACCCCTCACTGCAGCAATCGCGTTGGGAAGTGGGGATGTGGGAATGTGAGCGGCGTAAATGCAACGCAAACTTTGACGCAAGTCTTCTTTTGGGGCAAATTGTCGCCGTGCGACTTCTGAATGTCAGATGTTGGTTTTTCAAATTATTTGCCCTGGTGTCCCCAAAATGATGATGCCTTAAGACGCCGGTGATGACTTCGGCAGGGCATTTGCCACAAACTCTTTACATAAAACAAACACACGCCGATCTGTATATCCATGCAAACGAATATGGCCATGGATATGTGGACGTTTGGGCTGGCGGCAATTCGAGCCGTCGTTGGTTGGTGTTTATTCTAAACTTTGCCTGCCACCGAGTATCTTGGCCCCGTCCGTCATCTGCCCGCTTCAAGGGGCAAATTTATAGTTTTGGTTGCTAGGTTCGGCCCGACGGTTTCATATAGCACACAACTAATAGGTTTTCTTTGGGCGTAGACTTAGTCAAACTCTTCTGTTTGGTCTGGGCAAATTTACTTGGATTTCTCGTCGTGCTTCTGTTTAGAGACAAAGTCATATACTTGTAGGCTGGAATTGGGCTTGTAAATAGTTTTAATATACATCGCGGTTGGCTTGAATGGGAAACTTTACAGACTGTAGAAGGCAATGCACTTCTTAGTTTTCTGAAAATCTAACTGTTGATTTTTTCGTATTTCACTTACAAGTGAAAAGTAAACAATTTACTACTGTGATAGGAGGGTCGTATTAAAACGTAAAAAACCACAGTGATTAATTAGGCACTCTGAAAAAGTTGTCCCCGCTGCTCGCTAATTAAATAATTCACCAAAAGTAAAGCATAGCGCCATGCCGCAGGCAACTTTTTGCTTCCAACGCTTTCCTGTTTTTTATGCTCTGTTTGCAGCTAATCTATGCAAAGTTGCCAGCACTCACAAAAACTATTATGGAATTTCATTGAAAGTTGCAGTCAAAAAGTCGCGAATAAAAAATCCTAACGAAGGACAACAAGCGAGCCGAAAGTTTTCCCGGTCATAACGAGTCAAAGTTGCAGTCCAGTTGATGAACTCACTGGACCATGTCCGGCATGGTCACACATGCTCTCGACGAGGAGCGTAACCCTCACCTTTCCCACAAGCTCCACTTTGCGGAATCCTGTCAATTTAAGCCGCTTAGAGGGAACAGAAACCGTTTTTTGGGCAGTCTGCATTCGCTGGCAGTGCGTATGCGTAATATTTATGCATATTATTTTCCATTTCTGTTAACTGCTCTCGTAATCAAAAATTTACATATTTGGGCCACCGAAATTAATTATAATGCCACCACAATCACAGACACATAAAAGGGGCTAGAGCAAATTCATGGAGAACAAAAAGGGAGATTTATTTAGTATCAGGGCTGCAGTACAACAGTTTTTCACTTGGGTTCTAGCCAGACAGGAAGAGTTGTGTAGTTAAATAGCTCTCATTTATATTAACTGAAATGAAATATTTTACTTGTTATAAGAGTTGGCGATCTATTTAATACCATGCGATTAATCCCGAAGGACCTATGCGGAAAATATGTCTTTCCAATATTAAATAAGAACTCGATTGACTAGCGAGGCATAGTTTTTCCAAGGACTCAAAAAGTGTTGCAACATTTTCCAGCCAGTCAGTAACCCTGGCATTTATGTTTGCGGAGTGGGCAGACTAAGAGAGAAAGTCATGAATACAAAATGTGCCGCAGCTTTTGGTTTTGCGGCTGAGTTGGCCGCTCTTCTGCCCATTTCACCCACTAACCCCCCATCCCCTTCGCAATGGTCTCACACATGGCAAAACTCATTTCATGGGTCACGAGCTGCAATCATCTCAGCGATTCGGGGCGGGGAGGGAAGTGGCCGGCAGAAACTGGCCAAAAATTGATTATGGCAGCCACACTGCAGTGCCAGAAGGAGGACTGTGCTCGGACAAAAAAGGAAGCACAGCCGAGCAACTATCATCAAAATCCTATTAGTTGGATCTCTGGCCACGGCCGTCCCTTTTCGCTTTGTCCTTGTCCAGTTGCCTGCATTTTGTCAGCGTTTATTTGGCAAATTAATTCCCCAAAAGGTAAGCCAAACTTGCGATTTGAAACAATCAGCGATCCCCAGCCCACACCACTCCACTCCAGTCCACTTCACTCCACGCAACTCCGAAGTCCTTTTGTCCTTTTTGGTCCGGCTGCAGCTGTTGTTTGCCCCAACAGAGAAAAAACCAGAGCGACGGACCACAACCCGAACCCGAACCCCAGGACAGCAGCCTGCCCAAAAGGGGTCGGATGGCCCATCGGAACACGGCCCCTGCGAAAGGACAAGGGCTACGCCGCTGGGAAAAAGGAAAGCCCGGACACACAATTTGTGACAATTCCTTTTTGCGGATTAATATTTGCTCTTCCCCACCGGAGAACTCTCTCACCGGTTGCGCCTTTATTTGTCTCGCTGCCCTTTTCCTGTCTGCCCCTCCACTTCATGCAAATTAACTTGCCAGAAATTTCGCAGGATTTTGCTGCACGGGAAGCCTGACTTCGAATTGGAATTAAAGCCAGACGTTCTGACGCGTTATGAGTTTTAAAAGACACCCAAAATCAACCCTTTTTATCTTTTTAGGAAGCTGCTCTGATTACCGCCCCCAAATATTTGCTTAGTGTGGTGGTCATTGTTAAAGGACTTTATTATCATATATTCGCCAATTGACCACGCTTTTATGTAGCTTGCTGGCAAGGTATATATATTAAGACAAATGGCTACACATTTTCATTCTATTTCAAAAATAGGTACATACATCTTTAATAAAGACTGAAGTGAATAAACAAAACGGGCTACGTGTCGGTAATCAATTACTTTATTCTTTCCCGTTGACCACTTTTACACACTCATAACAAATTAAATTAAACTACAATGGAAAACAAAAATAACTCAATAATTAAAAGAAATATGAATACATACTAAATAAAATCAATTATCCAATAAACTATGTAAGCCATTAAAATCGTAAAATAACTTATTAAAATAATATTGTACGTATCAAATTAGGAAAACTGTGTGTTCTATGTGACTAGCGCTGTAAATTATAGATTATAAGTGATGAACTTCTAACGCTAGGATAGTATTAATCCAATAATAATAAAAATATTTTTAAAAGTCTACATTAATAACAGATTTATGAATGTTGTACCAGGTAAAAGTTTTGCGGGTTTCTTAGCAAAAAAATATAAACTGTTTGGCTTTTCTCAAAATGTTTTAAAATAGTGGTTTGTACACGCCTAAAATCTTCAAAATGTTGTTGTGTTCTTGCGCTTCACTACTTAGTTGATTGCCTTTTCAAAATGGAGCACATAAAAAGTGCTGACTTTCTCAAGGAGCTTTTCTCCCCTTCTTTATATTTTTTGCCAGGCTTTCAAGTGGACCAGACGGGGGTGCTGTGACAACTATCCTGATATATGGATTTTAGCCTCGCCACGTCCGAGCCAGACTTGTTTCCTTGGACCTAAGACCCCAGTTGACGGACAGTAATTCCCTTGAACTTGTTGGCCTTCCGTTCCTCAGCCTTTCTCGAAGTTACAACCTGAGCTATGGTCAAGCTAACGTTGGTCTCTCCAAGCAGTGAATAGAACCGTTTGTGCACGTTGTGTTGCAACGTAGTAGGCTGCCATTCCAGCAGTCAAGTGTCAACATCGGCACAGCTCCACACTTGCGTGATTGGTTTTCATTGAAGACTTTCCTCGTCTTTTCCACCGCAGCCATCCGAACTGATCCGATGCTGCGATGCTGGTGATCGATGACGAAATGGTACTGGCGACTCCAACTGCGCATGCAACTGCCAGACTACTGTTCTCTTGGCTGCCCCACAATTGGCCAACTAACCAACGGTGCGCGATAGCGATGACGATGACGATGGTGTTGCGAAACTCTTGCAAGCCACTCAAATCAAGTTTTCCGCCGACCGAATGCCGCGCAGAAGTATGAAAATCGCAAGTGGTTCCATTTAGTTTTCATTTGCGGCTCGTTGACGTTGGTCGTACGGAACTGATCAGTACCGAATACTGGCCCCAAATTCGGACAAGTAGGATGGCGTCACTCTTGGAGCGGATTGTGCTGCTGGTGGCATTGGCCACTTGCGTAGTTCGAGGCGACGATGGATTTCTGACCGAGCCGCGTAAGTGCGCCTGCCCTCAGATCGAAAGATCTCACCCACCTTTGGACGGTGGTGTGACACTCGTTGTTTCATTAAGACACCCCTAAAGAGTTTTAATATTCCTCGGTCTTGGCTAACACACAATGTGACTAACTGGCTGCCCGGATTCCGCCCAAAATATTGCACCACTAAACCGGATTTGTTTCTCTGAATTCTCTGTGTGCATTTTGTTTGCCTTGCACTCGCACTCGCCCTCGCACTCGCACTCGATCCGAATCCGAATCCAATCCATTTCTGGATCGAAACCGATTTGAAATGACCTGATCTGAACTGAACAAAATTCTAATCGAACCGCAGCAGATTACATCAAAGAGTGTAGGATAGCCGACAGGGACTTTGTCAACTGCTCCACGCACAGCATCCAGCAGCTGTTCGACAAACTCAACGACGGTGGGTAGCGTCCTGCGGTTGGAGGTTCCCTGCTGACAATCTGGTCCGATTCCCAGGCATTCCCGGGCTAAACAGCATCAAAAGCTTCGATCCCTTCTATCTCAACCGCATCCGGATCACCCAGGGCAACAGCAACGCCATCAACCTCAAGGTGGAGCTGGCCAACGTGAAGATCATCGGTTTCGGGCACACGCACGTCTTGGAGAGTCAGTAAGTGGAAGTGCCCGTCCCCATGGGGCACCCATCTTTTTCATTACCTTCCGAATTTTTCAGGGTGTTCAAGAAGGACTACAGCTGGAAGACCACGTTCACGCTGCCACAGATGAAGCTGCAGGCCGACTACAGTCTGTTTGGACGCATCCTGCTCATCCCGCTGAACGGCAAGGGGCAGGTGTTCCTGGACGCGGAGAACATGACGGTGACGATGCACACGAAGACGCGACTCTACTCCAAGGGCGGCTTCACGTTCTACAACGTGACCAGCCTGCACGTGGACTTCAAGATGGATGGCCTCAAGTCCTACTTCTCCAACCTGTTCAACGGCAACAAGCAACTGGGTAAGTAGCTGCTCCAGATCCCTCCTCACTGACTCACTGACTCACCTAATCACTAACTCACCGACTTTCGAATGGTCTTCCGGCGCAGAGGACAGCACCAACAAGTTCTTCAACGACAACTGGCGGATGCTGGCGGACGCTCTGTACACGGTCATCACCCAGACCATCGAGGACATCCTTCTGGACGTGCTAAAGAAGATATTCCACTTCATTCCGGCCAACTTCTTTGTGAGCGACATCCCGACGCCGGACCAGCTGTATGGCAGGGCCAAGCCGAAGCCCAAGTGAGGAGATGTCCTCTGGGAGAATCTACGAGAATCTGGGATAGGGGTAATGCTGTAGTCCAGCCAATAAAGTCTGTGGGAAAACACCAAGCGAGCCTTTGGCCGAGGGGGAAATCGCAAAAAAGGTCGCTCAACTGTTGCCTTGGTCTTCGCTGGACTGGAAAAGAAAAGTGAAAAACTAATGGCGGCACCTTAATCAGACATTGTTCGGCCGTGTCCAGGAAAATATATCAGGATAGACGTCACTGCGCAGACAGTCTGCAAACGATGGCCAGGCCACTGGCCTCGATAAAGAGTACACAGTCCTTACATTGCACAACTGCACAACTGCACTCGGCAAATAAAGCCATTGGCTGGGGGTAATCGCACATATGGCAAAGTCAAAACCGGAACCTGAACCAGAACCAGAACCAGAAATAAAGGCGGTCCGCGTGTTCAAATTAATTGCCGCAAAAACAGTCCCAGACCCCAAATTAATTTACATTTTTTATCCGAGCTATTTTTTTTTTTTTTTTGATTTTTTTTCGGCCATTGCGCTTGTAGCCTGCCAATAATTTGCTGCAACCGATGTTGTTGCCGTTGTTGCAGCAACTGCTGATGCTGCAGCCGCAATTAAAACGTTTGGCGCAGCGGCAACCATTACAAATGCCAAACAATTAGTTTAAATTTAATGCGCATTGCGTTTTCGACATTTTAGTTGCAAAACTCTGCGGTCTCAGCCGCCCCCTCGCTGTCCTCGAAGCTTTATTTTTTACCAGCTGCGAGACGGCCAAAACCAAAGCGACAAATCCTGTGCGTGATTGCAATAAATTCGCTGCCTCTCGGACCGAAGGCAGCCCCGGAATGCAGTTTGCACACAAGGTAAACAAACAACGGCACGGCCCGAGCCCACAAAGTAAGGGGCTTCCCCGAGAGGACCACCAGTTGACACTGGGCGGGCAGCAGAGGAGGCCAGGAGACAAACACGAAGGCAAAAACTATGCCGCAGTACGGAGTGTGGAACCAGTCGCCGTCGCCGAAAGTATTTCAATATTCCCAGCCAGTGTTGTCCAATATTTGCTGTGACTGTGCATCAGCTTCAGCTCCAACTCCAACCCCCCTTTCCCCGCCTCTGCAGCTCTGTTCTGTGCAGCCTAAAAGTAGGCAGCGAGTGCTTAAAGAGCCCGCCCAACTATCCATTTAAATATTGGTTTATCTGTGAGACTATGAAATCAAATGTTCATCATCAATGAGAAATAGAAAAAAAAACTTTGAGGTTTAACAGGCCTTTTGGTTATAACTTTATCAGCATTTCTTTCTATACTTCAGATTTATGCCTTGCACTCTTTTAGGTACTCACAAATTGATGGGAAACTGTAAGTATTTTTACAGGCTCTTCTACATTTGTAAGTAAACATATCAGTTACTTACATGCAAGGCTAAACACCTTCTAAATTGGTAGACTGAAAGAAGAGTTGCCCTGCGAGGGACTTGCCAAAAAGGATTAAGTCTTATTGTTATGTCATTTACGTTTTTTGAAATTGGAAACAGGCTCTTATTAAATAATGTATTGATTCGTACACATTAAAATCAGATCCTTTAATAATCATAAAAAAAAAACAACAGGAAACGCTATAGTCGTGCCCCGTTACTCTGTTTTCCAATTTAAAAATAAACATGCCTCCGGCAGATGGCGCCAGAAACTCTTCGGCGCGACTCACAATAAGTCGAGTGCGTCATCTGTTGCGGAAAATAAACATTACGTTCACTGCCGTACTGTTTAAGTTTGACTTATGTTTCGTAATAGCTTCTGGTAATTGTTTGATTTAAAAGTGTTCCATGTGTTGATAGACATTAACTGAATAAATGTACACACAACCATCGCTTTACAAAATTCGGTAATATATGGAAACTGCCTGTCTTATTTCGATAATAAACTAATGAATAACAAATTAACGAGTTTAATCCATTTCGTCCAGATTGATTGATAAAATTCAACATATCTTCCTGATACCGTACAAAACTCAAATGGGCTTACTTTCAGTTTGTTTTGATTGCCAAACATACAAACCCAAATATACCCTTTGACTGAACTTTCCGATAATACAGATACTCCTGCACTTCGCTTGACTAACGGCCCCATTAGAAGCCATAAATTAAACATTTAATTATAATGTCCAGTGCTGTGGGCAAATTAATTAATACATAATTTCAAATTAAACGCTGTCATTTCACAAGGGTTAATTCTCCAGCACTGCTGCAGCATAACAACCAACTGCGACGTAAAAATGTGCCACACCGGAGTGCATGAACTTTAAAGCCCGAATAATACGAATTTATGGCCAAATAATTGCAATCTCATTAGGACACTCGGCCGGCAAACCGAAACACGGACATGACACCAGCTCCAACCGGGCCAATTTGCCATGTTAAAATAAATATTCGCATTTTGTGAAATATTTAACAATAATTGAGCGTAAAATAATCGCCCAGCCAACCCGCCCTCCGCCCCCAACCACGCCCGCAGCGGAGATAAAGCCATGGAAGGACCCAGGCACGGTCGGCTCCGATACTGCGCTCCCAGCCAGCAACATCCTGCGTCCTGGATCCTGCATCCTGCATCCTGCAGTTAACAGCGTCCAGCAGGCAGCTCCCAAAGGCCGAGTGCGTTAATTGCAGTTGCCGTTGCACAGGACACGGATTGCGGCGACAGCGACAATTGTAATTAAATAGACACCACACAGGAAGCCCCCTTTCCCCACTCCACCTCCCCTCACTCCACCTCCCCTCTCTCCGCCCTGCAGCCAGAGTGTAGAACGGTCGACGATGGGGAAGTGCCAGGATAAGGCTTCCTGCCGATTTCTGAACATATGCCATGAGGAAGATGGGTATTTTTGTATTATTGTTAGAGAAAAGGGCCCGGAAATATTAATGGCATTTGAAGGATTCTGTATTTTGCACACAGAAAGTCACAGAAAGTTCATTAAAAAGATTAAACTTAAAGGCCAATATATTGTTTTTTCTATACTTTTATTGGTCAGTCAGCCCACTGTGCAATCGAGTTGTTCATTTATTGAAAGTTATTGAGTTGCTGGCATTAATTTAGCATATACACGTTAGTGGAAAATAGAACGCACCGGTTTGCGGTGCGCTGACAATTTTTCGAGCCCGTTTAACGAGCTGCACCACCACGTTAATGCTAATCTCGTAAAAATAAACAACATTTCGGGCCAAATCGATGGCTGGGCCATTAGGCCAATTGCTGGTCATTGTCATTGGGATCAATTCGGCGTCAGCTTGAATCGGCGGGTAGGTGGGTGGAACCAGTCCCATCAATATTCCGAGTGTTCGGCTTATTTGCGAAAATTTGTTGACACACAGACCTCCCCAATGGCGAACGGAACAAGCAATCAGGGAGCGGCAGCAGCTTAGCAGACTTCCGCAGGGATAACTGGAGAAGTGAATGAGAAGACGCCGGCGGCATTCGCATCGCTTTACAAGATTTTATTTACACCTTCTGCGAAAATGTTTACACTTCAACAGTCAGCGGCAATAAGAGAAGGCAAGCCTGCCCCGTTACGCCCACCGCTCCCCGGCGTCGAAATGAGCAATATGTAAACTTCCAGGATGCCAAAGGCAGATCCCCAAACAATTGAAAGTGGATTTCCACCTGGCGAAAAAATTGCTCAAACAGAAAGCCAAAAAAAAACTCATCAAAATGGGCAAAATGCTAACGGCCCTTGCATAATGCGCAGATATAGGAGGGAGCCAACTAGAACTAGGAGAAGGGCACGGGGGGGCGTTGTCATAGCGTAAATTTATGTAAAAATTGTAGCAATTGCAATAAGTTCGTCGTCTTCGTCGCCGTTGCCGGCGGCACTTAGAAGCCCAGAATTTGCGTGCAAGACCAAATAAATTCTTTCGATTCGAGGCAGTTCTTTATGCGCATTTTATCTATGGACCAAGGAGACCTCACCTCTGGGAGGAGGCTTTAGTTTGTAAGGCAAGGACATCACATTACTTTAAATGCATTAAGAACTTTGGCAAAAACTGATTACGAAATTTGCTCCGCCCTTGTTTGCCAAGCTCTTCATGATGTCTGAGCCAATGATTGGCAAGACTGAGATGGAGATGCCGATGCGGACTGTGAAAATGAACTCTCAGCTGGGAAATGCTCCGCAGTGCAAATATTGAGCTGAGTCGAAGGCTTTTGGCAGCCTTAATCTCCAACAGCTCACTTCCCCAAAGCGGAGTATTTCATAAGATTCACAGTCACAGTCGGAAAACGGTGCCCACTGTCGTCGGCTGTTATTTTTGGCAATCTGTTTGTTTGCCGATTGTCTGTCAGTTATGCTACTTATGGCCCATCCTTTGTTCCCGGCACCAGTCCTTTGGCTGGGCCAGCCTGATTTAATAAGAATTCCCTTTCCCTCTCGTCCAGCTGCTCATCGCAATTAACATAATTTTTATAAGTGGATTTTCATAGTTGAACAATCCTGGGCCCGCGGCATTTGCGAAAACTTTAAATTTCAATTCACTTAGCTCTCGTGCAGGGAGAAACTTTTCGCCAGGCCATTGAACCGGGGACAGTCGAAATTGGCGCTATAAGTCTTCAGATATGCAGCTCATGGACCCAGAGAGACTTCAAATACACTAGCTTAACGCCCTTCCTTTGCCAACAGTGCTTGCCGCTTGAGGCCATCATTTGCATTCCGATTGTGTTCGGGGTGAAATTCGTTGTTTCGATTGCAGATCGCCGCTTTGCCTTGCGGATTCGCTAACCCACAGAACTGAGAGCGGCTTCATTCGATTTCGGGGTTAAGGTCTTGCGGAGACCCAATTAAAATGTAGAAGGTGTCGTTGCAGGAATGAATAATGGTTTAATCACTATGAACGTCTCAGACGAAAATCACAGTAGCGGTCGGGTCATCGAACCACTCAATTCATAACTGGAAACTGTCTTTCATAATAACTTTGAATCTATGATTGCGCTAAACACCTTTTCGCCACTCGCGCTTGGCCCATCAATATTCCACGCTCATTTCGATCGAGACTTCGGGTTAGCTCAACTCGACTTGTTTTGGGCATAATGTATGCGCCGGTTATTCCAGAAGAACTCTATTTAAATGCAATTTGGAAACGGATTCCGGCCGGCAATGGCAATAGAATCGCGTTTTATTGGGGACCTGATGGGAATCAACGATGGGGCGCACTACAGCTCGTCCCTCTGGCTGTGGAATCCCCAGTCCGAGAACCCAAATCAATCTGCGACAATGTGACAATAATAATTGATAACCCTGAAGCCAAGAAACCGCGACGGTGAAGCGCACCAAATAAATTCAATGAAAGTCACTCAAATGTCGATAATTGAAATGCGTATACAACACCATCGCCAGCGAGCAAACAGAACAGAGCAGGACAGCCGAAAATTAACATTTTGCCCAACAAATTTAATTTGGTCAACTCAACAGCATCGAAAATTGCATTAATTTCATTTGCAGTAAGAGCAGGTGAGGTTTTGTCGGCGGCGTGGCGAACGGTCCAACTTTGATCGCCTTTATAGACCTTAAACTGGGACGAGCCGCCCCATGAAACACACATATAAGCCTGGGAATCTGAGACCTAGTGCCGATCGTTTCAGTTTCTGCCAGCGTATCCATTACTCAAGTACCGCTCTGACGTGTACTGTGCGCGCAATTAAGTTCGCGCCCCGAAATTATGTGCTGAACGGTAAGCTCAAAGGCACCGCTCTCCTCTAAGTTATTGTACTTTTCTACGGAAGATTTATCGCCCTCGTAGCGAAACCCGCTTAGATATATAGTGTGGGTAAAATGTTTGCTTTTTTCTCTCGCATCCAGTGACTCATGGGCCCGAACGCGACTTTAGCTGCTGTCAACGACTCTCAACTCGAGCGATGTGCAGTGCATCCTTAATTACAGAGGCGCTGGGAAGACGCTGGGAAGAGGATGTCAGCCTGCAAAGAGATTCCCCTTTTCTAGGACCGTGCTTCGCGATAAATTTTAAATATTCGCCAGTTTTTATTATCGCCGGCAAACTTGTGGGAAAAGTTCTTTCTGCTTCAGTTGTATGCCTTATTACGTGGCCTGTTTGAGTAATTCGCGATGGTTAAACAAGGGCACCCATGTGACAATGCACGACCCAAAATAAGAACAGATCTCATCAGTTACAACTGATTTGGACTTGAATTAAACGACTTTGAATAATTGTTAATGTTTTTAAAATCTAAACGTAACCTTTCGATTATTGGAATAATAAAAATAAAAACAAAAAAGGGCATCAGTTTAGAGCTTACCTCCAATAGCGTTGACTTCTAATGCATTCGTTACTTTTAAAAAAATCTTTAGAATACTTACTATAAGCTATATTGTGTTCTTCTGTAGAGTTACCAATTGAAAATCTCTAAAATAAATACTTTATCTTCCACTAAATACCCCAAACCTTTAAAATTCGTTCTGATTGGAAAATCGCAATATATAACTCTTAAAATCGTTAGAATACTATAAGTTATTTTGTATTCTTTTGTAAAGTCACCAATTGAAAATCTCTAAAATAAAAACTTTATCTAACACCAAATACTCCAACCCTTTGAAATTCGTTCTAAAGTGGACAATCGCAATACATTTTTAGACCAGCACTGCGAATTGTCATTGATCTTAGATCCCGAAATTATTGCCTCCGAACATATAAGCATTCAACCATGACTCCACCAAGTGGCGCATCCTTTTCGACCTGGTTTCGAAACGAAGGATGCCTACTCGCATTTTTCCCTGTGTGCCAGGGGTTGGGTAGGTAGGTAGGTAGTACTCTTGACTGTCACCCCTCTGATATCAGTCCAATCAGCCCGACAGAGTATGCACTTGCAGGGAGCCCCTGCCACACACACTCCCTAAATCATTGTCGTCTGCTGCTCATCAGGCAGCCCCTGCGACGCCATTATCATCATCGTCGTCATCAATTGCGCTGCCGGTGGCTGCCTGCAGACAGCTTGTCACCGTCGGGCAAACATGCGAATTTCGCAGCCGAGCGGGCAAACACGTGACGAGGCGACGAAGATTATTGGAGGAGGGGGCGGATTGGGCGGAGGACAAGACGAGGCGACAATGACGAAGTCAGTCGTGCGACAAGGCAGTTTGAATACCAAAACAAGGCTGGCTTGGAAGTACATCGCTACTTTATTGGGCCTCCTGCGAGCACAGAGCCCCCGGAGAACACAGATCTCAGCCCAGACTGAACCGCTTGAGGTTGTCGAACCCCTTGGACTTGTCGATGCGGCCGAAGACGGTGGACCGTAGGATCGCTCCGCCCTTGGGCTTCGAAATCTGCAGGCCGAACCGGAACTTGGCCTCCGGCAGAAAGCTGGGCAGCATCTCCTCGTCCACCTTGTAGTTGATCAGGCTGTAGGTGCCCCGGCGGATGGGGCACTCCTTGATGAAGTTGCCGTGCTTGAGCAGATCCTCGTAGATCCCGCGCAGCAGCGGGTCCGAGGTGCGCTGCTTCACCAGCTTGCAGAAGTTGATGGTGCGATTGATCAGTGTGGAGTAGTTCCCCTTGTCCGTTTCCAGTCCGACGTCGACCGCCAGTAGGACGTCGTCGATGTCCTCGAGCGTCTTCATGTCTATGCTCACCTTGGACTCGCCCAGCTCGTTCTGCAGGTCAACCCTTAGGTCCACGACCTTCTCGTTGGCCTCGAAGTCGATGCTCGTGAGGATGACCTTGAAAGAGCGCTGTTGCGGGGAAGTAATTAGTCAGACGCCGGCCAACAAGCCCGTTTCGCACCAACGCACCCAGGCTCCGGTCACGGGGATGAGCACCACCAGAACGAGGCTTAGGGCACAGCAGCTTCGGGTGAACACCTCACGCATCTTGCTCCAATTATCCACTGGGACTGGGCCCTTTTTCAATTAGTCACTATTTATATGAACGCAATTAACGCAATTAAGTCAGGCACCACTGGGCGCCAAAGTGCAGCGCACATTAGGCGCAGATGGGCGTTCGATCTGGCCAATGGATGGCCGTTCGATCTGGTCATGGTCACGGGTAGATAGGCCAGCTAAGTGGTTAGACTTTGGAAAGGCATTCGGGTGTTTCGAGCCTGCTTGATTTTCGATAAGATCGAACCCATAATTGCCGGCCATTTCCATATAAATAGTGCCCGGCCGGCGGAGAGCAGACAGTGCGGTCAGTCCATTACAGTCGGTCCATAATGTTGATACACACCCTGGTGCTGGTGCTGGTGCAGGTGGTCCTTGCCATTGTGCAAGGCTCCCTGGCGGAGGTTAGTCCGTGCAGAGTGGGCCGGAGACGCCAGACTGATCCCCCCCCTGATCGCTTTTTCCAGAAAATGATGAGGCCCAAGTTCAAGGACATCAAGATCTGGAGCGACGAGAAGTTCGTCAGCCACAAGGTGGTGTACGACAGCAGCGACCCGCACCTGAACTTCTCCATGGTGGTGCACCAGGAGCTGCACGACGTGGACATCCACCTGGAGGTGCGCATCGTCAACAAGCAGGACGCGCTCTACAGCACCAACCTGAACACCACCCTGAACGTGTGCCGCATCCTGGGCTTTGCCAACAAGTCGCCGGTGGGCCGCTTCGTGCACGGCTTCCTCCGTGAGTTCGGCAACATCGTCGACAACTGCCCCATCGCCAAGGTGAGTGGAGTGCTAGCGCCGGGCTCCAGCTGATCAGCATCCGTATTCGTTCTCGGTCCCGTTCTAGGGCCGGTTCCACTGGCACCGCATTCATTTAAAACGTCCATTACAGGGCTCCTACTTCGCAAACAAGTTCTGGTGGCCCGAGGACCCCACCACCTCCATGCTGCCCGAGCAGGAGTTTGAGATCGTCTGGCAGGCCACGCACGTGGACGCCAGCAAGAAGCGCACCCTGATCATGAACGACCACTTCGGAGGGGAGTTCGTCGTCCAGGACGTCAACAACCTCAAGCCCGGCATCTTCGCCATGCTGCCCAAGATCGCCTAGGAGCTCTGATCCGCTCCACACAGCTTTGTCGCGTGTCCCAATGGTATTTTCTTAATGTTGTTCAGTGTCACTTTGGTGTTAACCAGAAAGCAAGCAAATAAAGTTGCCCCAGAAAGAGCAAAACTCATCCCGTGGCGACGCGTTATTTATCAGACAAAAAATGTGATGCCTCTGACACTTCACATCATAACTACAAGAAGGTTGAGTTTTACATTAAGTTCATACATCGGCTTTTGATATTAATCAATTATACATATATGGGCTGCAATTGCTTTCTGCTTCGATTGCTGCAAATAACTATTTGTAAGCCACTGTTCTACTTCAATGATTACTTGTCACCTGAATTACAACAGTACGTAAATAGTTTTTGGGGGCGATACGGATTTTTAAGTACATCAGAGTATGTGGCATGTATATATTGGGTAAAGGTATCTCATATTTTGGGGTCTACGCCGAGCACTGATTGCTGATCAAACTAAAAATTTCTTCCTCTTCGAAAGGCAAAGATAATATTAGTAAAGGTTGAGCCGTTAAAATTTGCAGTGCTTTTACTTAAAACCAGAAATAAAAAAATAAAAAACGTAGTTCTGAAATAGTAAACGATAAACTTTAAAATAAATTAAATAAATTGGAGAACAGCGAAGTTAAAATATTGTTTATTGGCTATAAGATATAGTTGTCCGATTCGGCCCGTTCCATTTGTAACTTTATAATCATTTCTCTTTTTTAAAGAGTAATAGAAGAACTTTAATAATGCTTACAGTGAAGCCATCAATGTCAATTCAAATACAATTTTTCATTTTATTCAATGCCGGAATCAGAACGTGCTGCTCTCGAATTTTGACACTCGACAATTTTGTGTTTTTGCAGCATTTCCAAATTGAATTAAAATGGGCCGGCCATTCGGTGGGGATTGGACAGAAACAAAGAGCCCACAACATCAAATTGTTATTCAATATACTGGCAATGAAATGTTTGTGACTTGTGTCGTGCTTATTGTGATCCGACAGTGACAGTTTGCGAATTTTTAAAACGCTTTTAGCATTTTTTATCCCATTGAAGATGCCACTTGGTATGATTTATGCGAGTTTGAGTTTGGCGAGCTTTGGATTTGCTTATTTGGTTATTTGGTCATTTGTCGATTGGCATATTGATGCAGTGTCGGCGTAATTGAGGAAGCAATAAAACGACAGTAACCAAGAGGAATGCTAAAATGATCCCGGCACCTCTGCTTCATTCTCCGTCTCGATGATTTCCATTAAAACCTTCAATTTCAATTACCGGTTATAATGCGCCTGGAATGGAAATACAAATCTCTGGACAAATCTGCCCCTAACAACTTTTATCAATTACCTGACCAGAATCCACCAAAAAAGAGGTGTAAAAAGGTAAATTTTATTGTGATAAGCCCTCGACTATCGTCGACCATCCTGGACCCAATCCGCACAATGCATTTGTTTTCACTTTGTTGAACTTGTGAAACTTTTTCGCAGCCAAGAAAAAGTTCAGGGGTCAAGCCAGCGGCCATTTAAGCTCCATTAGACGGGCACACAAAGCGACCAAACGCCTGGCTGCTCAGGGAGCACCCCGGTGTAAGGAAATTCATTGTCCCAGTCGCCCAGCTGCCCCCTTTTCTCTGCCCAAAGGACCCGAAGGATGCGAAGGGTTGGCCCTGATTTGATTGCAGTACAGTAAATCTTGAAAAATTGCCATTCAATGCTTACGTTTTGAAAGCATTCATCAATAAGTTGGCTGCGACTCAGCCCCAAACAATGAGAATTTCTCCAGCGCGGCATTAAAGTTGCTGCACTGAAAGGCAATGCGGCCCCAAATTCGATTGAAAGGTAGGCTAAATCCGATTTTGCTCACTGTTTCTCCCAGTGCAAGGGCATGGACACTTGGAAGGACGCACATATGCCACACGGGCCAACTGGCACTCCAGCCAGCCAGTCAAATCTCCCCATTTGGCTAATAAATCCTTGAGCAGCTTATTGAGCAACGTCTGCGCATAAATATTGTGGCTGGCATCTGGTCAGGGAGAAGGACGATGCCAGAGTACCGAGGACTCGGCTGTATTCAGTTTTCACTGGAATTCGTTACTTACTCCCCGCTGTCGGGAAAGCTGCGCATTCTCGGCTCGCTTCGAATGTGTTAAATAAATCGCTTTTCAGGACTTTTTTTCCCTTCTTTGGGGTAGCACCACTTCTATATTGCTTACATCGTTTTTGCGGTACTAATATTTTGTTTAATCAGTTTTAATCATTTTGGTTTCCACAATCCAACTTAATAACTTTATTCCTAAATATTTAAATCAACTCTATCATCTCGATAACGCATCAAAATAAAGTACTACTCCGTACAAAATAAATGAATTTTCCCTCGAACTACCTTTTTTTGTTTATAAAAAAGGTCGCTGTCTATTGGCAAACAAAAAATATTTAAAAAACCAGCCTACTGATAAAATTTAAAATTAAATTAAAAGATGTTCCCAAACATTAAAGAAAGAATTGAAAAAAAAATACAGCTATTTGATCCGAGCAATCATAATTAAGTAACGACAAAACAAGACATCTCATTGATAAAAATTTTGAAAGAAAAGGCTTATACCATATTTATTTTTAATTCAGGCTATTTACACTTATTAAGAGACAGGGCTGTAAAAGAAATTATTATTATTTTTTAATGGGTAGTATGCTGATTTTAAGTTGATCAACACGATCATTTTTTGCAAACTTCGAACTTGACAAATATGATGATTGCATCGTAAGCCTTTTGTCTTATGACACTTATTTACTCGTTTTTGCTGCAATCTTTTAATCTATAATTTTTTTTGGAAGAAGCAGTCAAACATAGGGCATTCAAAAATAGCTCTCACTTTCGACATTTTTCGCTAGTTGTCCCTCTATTCTCGACCGGAATTCTTGAGCTGACATTGGATTTCGGTTGACTGTCGTGTTGGTATGCCTGCCCAGGATTTTTTGGCCTCTGCTTGGGTTGTTGTTGATTTCTTAAGTATACTTGCTGCACTAAAAGGATATGCAAATTGTTTGAATAGCAAAGGACATGCTAAACAATTTCAGAGCCTCGAGACTCTAGTTTAACAAACAAAAAAGGAAACTAAGCTAAGGAAAACATTTCTCGTTCCCGGCTGGATGTGTTTTCTTTTTTATGGCTTTGCTTTTTGTTGCTGGTTAGTGGAGTTTTCTTTTGGTCACTACGGTGCTGTTTGTTGTTGCGCATTAAGATGTTGCTACAAGGACACAGGACATTCACATATATGGCAGCAGAGGAAATGCTCTTGCATTTCACACTCACTTGGCATAAATCACAGATCCCCATGTTATTAGACATCCAATTCCCATTTCTATGCCCACTCCATGAAACTGTTGCCTCTGCCGTCGGTTTATTGAATTAGTTGACTATGCCAAGGACAGTATGGGGACGTTTTGGGGAGGAGCTTTGGGATTCGAGACAATAAATCTCCTGTTTCCAGGGCTCACCCTTTACACTTTCTAGCGCATTTAAATCCTTTACATGGCCAATTCTCTGTTGCGGTAAAGGGAAGCTTTTCTAACTATGTGTTCAGTGTTTAGTGCAATAGAAAGCCCGGATCCCTTGATTTACTTACCTGAAACATCAGATTTAATTCCACATTTAAAGTAGAATCAAGCTCTAAACGTTTTAATTCCGAGGCTCAGATACTTCTTATGTGTATTTTCGATTACGGATTAATAGCTTCTGCCATCTTCAAAACCAAGTTTTTTGGAGCTGAGCTTAACTTGGCAAAGGCTTTTACAAAGTAACGTCTGAAGAGACTGTTTTGTACAATTCAGTGTACACATACAATCCCCCTTTTCGCCTTCAGAATTGGCAGCAATGGCAGATAACAAAGGTTCCAACAACAACAACAAGGGATGCCCCCGCTTAACGTACATTACCTTTTTTGCTGGCGGCATGTTATTTCGTTCGTTTCCCTCAATTGCTGCCCAGTTGGCGGACAAAGTTTTTTGAAATGCAATTTTGGAGCGAACAAATCAGATAAACCAGTTCTAAGGAAATTTTCTTTAGGCTGGCGATTTCGGGGTTCGAGTTCCATAAGCAATTAACGGGCACAAAGAGATAAATTTGGCACAGAATATTGTCAACTGAATCCTGAATCAATTCGGCATGCCAGCAGCTATGCAAATCGAGACTCCCCCTCCAATCCACCCCTTACAACAGGGCAAACAGTATTTTTCCCCTCCTAAGAAGATGGCGACGTGACATCGCCAAACCGCATATTTCATATAGACACTCATACATCAACATTTTTATTCGCATCCAATAGATTTAAGTATCTGGTATCTGGGGCTTAGGTCGGCCCGTGCCATCGGCAGGCAGCCGCACATTTTTGCACAGTTCAAAGATCAAAATGAATATTTTATTTGATTTGATTCCAGGCTGGCTGACTGCTGAGCTTGGCTACAAGAAAAGCATTTTTAAGCGCTCAATCCCTGGCATAATAAACTCCAGGGATAGGGCCAATTGTCTGCTGCCTCAGAGATGCGTATATTCCCCACAACGCGCCTGAATGATTGAATATGTAGATTTGGGCATGCCGATGAAGACGTCCTTAACGCTCTGAAAAATTGCCCCACAAAGCAGGTAGTCCTTCGCAGCAGCCACCATTCCACCACCCATTCCCCAAAACTCCTTAAGCGCTGAGTATTGTTGGAGTCACAACAATCATCTAATTAGTTAATGCAGTGTATGTATTTCCAAAACAAGGCTGTCCGCCGGCAATAACTCTAAGGACCCCCTTTCCCACTTAACCCTGAAGCTGGTTGATCAGACGGCGCTGCCTCGCCAGCAGCTGCTTCATCTTGCGCGTCCTCTTTCCTGGCGCTGCCTCCGCTCCTGCCGACGACGGCGCTCCCGAGCCAGGCGACGGCGGCGGGCTCGTCTGCGCCTCTTGGCCTCCGCCGAAGAAGGGGACTTGGTTGAGGAGGAGGCTTTGGTGGTGGTGACGTCGGAGGAGGAGGCAGCGGGGGTGGTGGCGGCGGCGGAGGAGGCGACGGTGGTGGTTTCGGAGGAGGCGGCGGTGGTGGTGGTGGTTTCGGAGGAGGCTTCGGTGGTGGTGGTGTCATCCTGAGCCTGGACAAGGCACAAGAGCACACCGAAGACAAGAACGTATAGGAACCGCATTGTGATATGTCTGATCTCGAAAACTGGGTGGGCTTTTATACTCAATCTGGGCCAGACATGAACTTACCTTGTAATGAACAAATACACAGTTGCTGCTCGACAATAGAAAATATTTGCACAGCTTCTCGGTCTCGACAATATCTTCGGCATGATCTGAAATACTGTTGGACCTGTAAGGTCAATCACATCATTAAAATCTTACCATCAAATCCGTCAGTATCTCCAGTATCCAAGAATTGGGCTATTGCAATTATGTTGTTATTTATGCTGTTATTTTTTCATAGAAGGCTGAGATTATTTCATATGAATTTTTCATGGCTTTCATTTTAACTTATGTTTTCCAAACCTGGCCTAATTTTAATTTTGCAGAAGCAAAATTAGTAACCAATTTTAAAATATTTATAAATTTACTTGCTTGGGAAAGCTTTCACCTAACCACCTTTTCCCTGAACTCTGCTTTTATTTTTTGTCACAAAATTTGATATCAAATATTTTATATGTTGAATTGCGATCGTCACGACGTTTTTACCTCGTTAAGAGGTGTTTTTGTTTGATATCAAAAGTTTTTGTTTGAAATAAAATCAAAGTACCCCTATTAGTGACCATAATTTTTACAAAGAAAAAAACGGCAAAAAAAGCTGTCGAACTTTGAAGCGTACCGTTATGTTACAATAGTGGGGAAAAGAATAACACAATATTGGATAATATTCAAAGGTTGCCAGCTATGAATACCCATTCCTATATCTTTTTATTGTAAATGTAACAATGTAATAAAAATAGGAATTTGTTATCGTTACGAACTAAATTTGTATTTTTATGCTGTTTTTTATATATGTTTTTATTTTATTTGAGAAAGCTTCAAACACAGAACAAACACTATTACATTGATTTTTGACCACTGGTGAACGAATTCGGATTAGAGAGGAAGACGCAAGCTTGCATTAGCTTCTTTACTTTCACGCAAAGAAATGCGAAAAGAATGAAAAACGAAAAGAAATACGCGATCTTGGTTTTTTGGTTGCTTGACCTTGCATTAACAATATATATATGTTCCTGTACACATGAAAACAAAAAATTGCATAAAGGTATAAATGAACATGAAAATAAGAATTTTCAGCGCATTTTGCTTTTATTCTCTCTCCTCTTCGTCTGCCTTACCTAAAGATAGTGTTCAGCATTCGTAAATATTGCTGCAATTTAACAATTACATATATATAAACAAGAAAGAAAGCAAACTTCGGCAAGCCGAAGTTCATATACCCTTGCAGCTATTTCAAAAACTAAATACTCTTAAAACGTTAAAATTATGATTTACTTGCGTGTATGTTTAAAAACATTGAAGCTATGATGATTTGCAGCTTAATTATTCGATAGTTCCTATGGCAGCTATACGATTGTTCCTATGGGAGCTATATGCTATAGTCGTCCGATTTTGATAAAATTTAAGCCGTAATTCTGAAATATTTAACCATTACTATATGTCGAAGAACTAAAATAAATTTAAAAACACCAAAGTTATAATTTGTTTTATTTATTTTTCCGATTGTTCCTATGGGAGCTATATGCTATAGTCGTCCGATCCGGCTCGATATGACTTATATACTACCTGCAATAGAAAGACAACTTTTGGGAAAGTTTCATGCAGAAAGCCTTAAAACTGAGAGACTACTTTGCATAGAAACGGACGGACAGACGGACATGGCTAGATCAGCTCTCCTAATAATGCTGATCAAGAATATATATACTTTATAGGGTCAGAGATGTCTCCTCCACTGCGTTGCAAACTTCTAACTGAAATTATAATACCCTCTGCAAGGGTATAAAAAGAACACACACATATTTTGTGAACGCACGCATGTGTCAACTTTTAATATTTCCCTTATTCATTATAAATATTTTTATCCTTCAAATAAATTGCTTAAATGTTTAAATCAAATATAAAGTAACATTCGCTATTTTTCATAGTAAAACTTCATCGTAATCCAACTTTGCACATTTTTATTTTCTTTTACAGTTTTTAACATTTTTCATATTCAAAACAAATGGCTTCATGTTTCTGATAAATTTTTAAAATGTTTAAATCAAATAAAATAGTAAAAATAACGATGGAAAACGAAAATATTATGTTAAAGCAATTATAAAAATGTTTGATTTCACTATGCGTTTTTTTTACCAGTGTAGTTTGCGTAGAAACGGACGGACAGACGGACATGGCTAGATCGACTCTTCTAGTGATGCTGATCAAGAATACCTTATAGGGTCACTGCGTTGCAAACTTTTGACTGAAATTATCGTTCGCTCTGCAAGGGTATACTTAGTCAGGGTATAAAAAACATAAGTTAAAATGAAAGCCATGAAAAATTCATATGAAATAATCTCAGCCTTCTATGAAAAAATAACAGCATAAATAACAACATAATTGCAATAGCCCAATTCTTGGATACTGGAGATACTGACGGATTTGATGGTAAGGTTCTAATGATGTGATTGACCTTACAGGCCCAACAGTATTTGAGATCATGCCGAAGATATTGTCGAGACCGAGAAGCTGTGCAAATATTTTCTATTGTCGAGCAGCAACTGTGTATTTGTTCATTACAAGGTAAGTTCATGTCTGGCCCAGATTGAGTATAAAAGCCCACCCAGTTTTCGAGATCAGACATATCACAATGCGGTTCCTATACGTTCTTGTCTTCGGTGTGCTCTTGTGCCTTGTCCAGGCTCAGGATGACACCACCACCACCGAAGCCTCCTCCGAAACCACCACCACCACCGCCGCCTCCTCCGAAACCACCACCGTCGCCTCCTCCGCCGCCGCCACCACCCCCGCTGCCTCCTCCTCCGACGACACCACCACCAAAGCCTCCTCCTCAACCAAGTCCCCTTCTTCGGCGGAGGCCAAGAGGCGCAGACGAGCCCGCCGCCGTCGCCTGGCTCGGGAGCGCCGTCGTCGGCAGGAGCGGAGGCAGCGCCAGGAAAAGAGGACGCGCAAGATGAAGCAGCTGCTGGCGAGGCAGCGCCGTCTAATCAACCAGCTTCAGGGTTAAGTGGGAAAGGGGGTCCTTAGAGTTATTGCCGGCGGACAGCCTTGTTTTGGAAATACATACACTGCATTAACTAATTAGATGATTGTTGTGACTCCAACAATACTCAGCGCTTAAGGAGTTTTGGGGAATGGGTGGTGGAATGGTGGCTGCTGCGAAGGACTACCTGCTTTGTGGGGCAATTTTTCAGAGAGTTAAGTGGAGTTCCTGAGCCTGGGATTGTAAAATATTACACTTTTTTAACACAGCTATTATTTTATTCAAAATACACGTCGAATGACTCCAAATTTGTTTGTGTGCTCCGTTTCAAAAAACTTTTTATACATTTGCAGAGAGTATTTTAATTTCAGTCAGAAGTTTGCAACGCAGTGATCAATATCACATCGATCTAGCTATGTCCGTGTGTCCGTCCGTTTCTACGTAAACAAGTCTCTCAGTTCTAAAGCTATCTGCATGACCCTATAAAGTATATATATTCTTGATCAGCATCTCTAGTAGAGTCGATCTAGCCATGTCCGTCTGTCCGTCTGTCCGTCCGTTTATATGCAAACTAGTCTCTCAGTTTTAAAGCTATCTGCATGAAACTTTCCCAAAAGTTGTCTTTCTATTGCAGGTAGTATATAAGGCGGAACGAGCCGGATCGGACGACTATAGCATATAGTTCCCATAGGAACAATCGAAAAAATAAATGAAAAAAATTATAACTTTGCTGTTTTTTAATTTTTTGTTTAGTTCTTCGACATTTAGTAATGGTTAAATATTTCCGATTTACGGTTTAAATTTCATTAAAATCGGACGACTATAGCATATAGCTCCCATAGGAACAATCGGAAAAATAAATGAAAAAAAATTATAACTTTGCTGTTTGTTAATTTTTTGTTTAGTTCTTCGACATATAGTAATGGTTAAATATTTCCGATTTACGGTTTAAATTTTATCAAAATCGGACGTCTATAGCATATAGCTCCCATAGAAATAATAAAAATATATAAAATAACTATCTAATAATTGAGCTGCAAATCATCATAGTTTCAATGTTTTTCAGCATATACTCAAGTAAATCATAATTTAAATGTTTTCAAAAGTATTTAATTCATGCAATAGCTGCAAGGGTATATGAACTTCGGCTTGCCGAAGTTTGCTTTCTTTCTTGTTATCCCTCCCTTCGCATTTCTTTCTTTATATGAGTTTTTGTGTGTAAGTGTTGCATTGAGCCTAACGGATTTCTGTTATGTGCAGTCTCGGTGTGACATGGTACGAGTAAAAGAGATAATCATATGGTGTTTGGCAAAGTATGTGAACAAGAGGATGTTGAACAATTTGTGCTGTATAAAAAGGAGTTCTGATGGATAGATCAGACAGTCTCGATCGAGGTGCGGTTACGAAAGGTTACGAAATGTCACAGCCGAGAAAGCGCACGGCTCGCAACGCCGCAGAATTCATTGAGGAACTCAATGTTCCGACACATCGAAAACCTCCACTCCGATAATATATCGATAATATTCACGAATGTATCGATGAAAGTTAAGATAGTTTGCTCATCTCTATCTTGGTGGTGTTGACAGATTGGCCCGTCACTTTGGTCGATATCTCGATATATGGTCGATATATTTACTTTACCGAAATTAGTCACTTAAAAAAAAATGTGTATTTCAAATAGACCTAAAACTTTTGTTTAAATAAATTTTTTTTACAAAGGTCAATTTTTTAAAGAATTTGCCAAAAAAACAGAAATAACGGATCGGATGTTGGAGCTTTTCGGATGTTCATTCATTTCGTGTTTTGACTGAATTGGTAAACTTGTCTTAAACGTGCCTGCCTCTACTATCATTACATTCTTATCTCTGCTAAAAGCATCTACATACATTTTATTGTTTGTCCTGTGCTCCATTTTATAATTGAACCCTTGAAGCTCTCAAGATCACCTTGCTATTCTGGAACTAATATCAAATTATTTGAGCGTTAGGGCTAAGGACTTGCATTCTGTCACAATTTTAAGTCGCTTTTCTTGCAAAAAAATGAAAAATCTTTTCAGCGCGATAATTATAGCTAAGGTCTCTAACTTATGAATGTGATATTTTATATGTGATGCCTCTTCTTGAAAAGAAAACAATTGGATGCAAAATTTAGTCATCTTTTATTTGAAAAAGCACAGCTCCCAGTCCTAAAGCTCTGATCGTATGGAGAAAAAACTAGAACTTTCATTAACTTAGCTTTGCCTCAATCTGTATACCCTTGCAGAGGGTATTATAATTTCAGTCAGAAGTTTGGAATGCAGTGAAGGAGACATCTCCGACCCTATAAAGTATATATATTCTTGATCAGCATCACTAGGAGAGTCGATGTTGTGTGGTTAGTGGTTTGATGGAACCGCTGAGCAATGGCCTATGTTTCAAGTAGACTACAGAAAAACTTCAGCAGCTCACGGCTATACTTTGGAGAATCTTTCTCGCCTTCAAACGTCACTTTCGGGACTAGCCAAAAATTTAGTTGCATCACTTCATACATATCCAAATAACGTCGAAACAATAATGCAAACATTATGTAACCATTACGGACGCCCCCAAGTGCTTACTCGTAGTCGACTTGACAAAGTCAGAGGCTCTCCGCCAGTTAAATACAACAAAATATTTGATATTATTGATTTCAGCGTCATGACAGCCAATTTAACAGCATTTCTCCAGAATTGTAACGCTGAACATCATCTTTACAATCCCACGTTAATACACGAGTTAGTCGACAAAGTTACCGATAAACAAAAAAGAACAGTGGGCCAAATACATCATGGAAAAAGGCATTGTTTACCCAACAGTAAAAAAAATTTCGGAATGGCTTCAAAAGATTGTTACCTTTATCTCTATAGCGTTAGGCAATACAATGGCAACGACGACATCCGACGGTCTACAGGAAAAAAAAATCGACATAAACACATTTTTACTGATAACAACAAACAGAAGCGACACCATAAATGTTTTATTTGCAATAGTGGACACAAACTACAATATATCAATGTAATGCCTTAAAGAAGAAGACCTTGCCCGGAAAATGGGAGATCGTGAAGGAACAGCGACTGTGTTTCGGATGTCTTTGCCAACGATATTCATTATCATTTCGCCGAGAATGTTAAATAGATTCATGTCAGAGGTACCATAATCGACTTCATCACGATTCTAAGACACTCCGCAAACATTGAAAATAGTCCACCAGAATGAAAGGCAATATAGTTACAACCACAACTATGAAAGAAGAACCGCCAAAGACGACCCTGTTTAAATTTTTGCCCATAACTGTAACAGGTGCAAAGTCACAAAGCAAAATAATTGCGTTTATCGACGAGGGTTATATCTTTTATCGAAGTGGAGACAGCCGGCCTGCTGAGTCTAAAAGGATCGAAAAGCCATATGACATTCAAATGTATAGGTAACAAATCGTCTTAAGCCCGCCGCATTTCCGCAAATATTTTCCAAGCCTAAATGATCTGCTGATTGAAAATTATAATAACGCTACACCTAAGTAAGGCCTATGGAAATAATAAATTTAAATGGAAACTTTTCAGCTCATAAAACTAAACTAGGATGGATATTGGTTGGGTCAAAGTAAAATAAACAAAACAGAGTAAAGAAAGTATAAATACAGAAAATTATGTACAAAATATAAAACATAACTTTAAAACATTGACCAGTTTGGAGTTAAATTAACAGCACCGCTCAAATCGGATATTGATCAAAGATCTGAAAAAATATTAAAGAAAACAACAAAAAAATAGAAATATGGCTACGAAACTGGACTTTTATAGAAATCTGAAATTATTGACTAATATTGACTATTGACTAATATTGAACTTAAAATGATTAAGGATGAATGGCTCCTAAAACGGTATAAAGAAAAAAAAAAAGAATATGAACAAAAATCGAAACGGATTCAGGCAATACTTGGTATCTGCAACACTTTGCAGTCTGCAATTTAAAGGAAAAACAGACCAAAACTAGCATTTGAGCCCGCAGCCCAAAAACATGGAGTGTCTTTAAAATCATCTCTTACAAAAGGACCAGATGCATACCAGCCGATGCATTTGCCATCTCTTCGTTAAGTTTCGTCAACGTAAAATAGGAGTTTGTGCCGACATAAAAGAAATGTCTCGCCGTGTATTCATCAAAAAGAAGGATTAGAACAATCAAAGATTTTTGCGGAGAAATTAAACCAGATTTTTTGTTATGAAAGTCATGATTTTCGTTTCTACCAGATCACCGTGTTCACCACAAAACGTCGAAAATATCAACGCCAAATCCTTTACGGATGATAATCCAAAAGCGGTTAAAGCTATAAAAGAACATCATTACGTCGACGATTATTTAGACAGTAATGACACAGTCGATGAAGCACACAACGTAATTGACAGAGTTATTAAAATTCATAAAAATGGAAATTTCGAGCTTCGTGGATTTGTGTTGAATTCAAAGGTTATGTTAAAAAGGATTAACAACTCTCCGGATATTGAAATATCTCCAACAATACGAAATAAATTTAAGCCGAATACGGAAAAAATACTTGGGCTTCATTGGGATTACAAGTCAGACCAGTTCGGTTTCATTCTTAAGTTTAAAAAGGTACCAAAAAACGTAGCAGAAGCAAAATTACCTCCAACAAAGAAACAAGTCCTTTCAATTATAATGGCTAACTTCTATCCATTTGGATTTATATAATACAAGAATTGAGGCGTATCAATACCATGTGGGACGAGATAATTCCCGAAAATCGTCAAAAAGTTTGTATTGCATAGCACGACCAACTGCGGAATGTAGAGGACGTAAGAATTCACAGATGCTATCATGATAATTTTACAGATTCCGACCATGACCTTCAACTGATAGTGTTCTTTGTACTGCTTTAACTTAATTATCTTTTATTCAGTTTATTCGTCCGATCGCACCGGCCACGCTTTTTCAAATGCCTCGCTCTCTTCTTCGTGCGTCTTTTTGTTAGGGATGCAAAACATACCGATACTTTACAAGCCAGGGATAGCACACACAAAATATATCCAGGGTTACACACACATTAAAACATAACTTAACTATAT